CCCCAAAACCCCAAAACCCCAAAACCCCAAAACCCCAAAACCCCAAAACCCCAAAACCCCAGCTGAAGCTCAAAAAATAGAATCGATTTGTAATTTATTTCAATTGATTTTTACTTCTAAATTAGATAGGGGAATTATGCAGTAGTGTTGATGTGGCCTCCGAAGAAACCCTTGATTTCTTTATAAATATCATTGAACTGGAACCTGTCTCCAGCTAATTTGACTGCCTCAATGCAGTGCTTGTTCTCTCCAGCGCTCATAATATTGATCTGGAGCTTGACTCTCTGTTCACTCTCATCAGCGATATTCATAATGATTGAATATTCGGATGCTGAGAACTCATAATCGCTCGATTTGGTGATTGCGAATTGGGCAATTGTGGCGAAGAGCTCTTCCAATGGAGATTCAGAGAAGAACTTAGTAAAAGAACCCAAACAAGCGATGTATTCCGCCTCTTTTCTGTGGAGTACTGGTAGGTTAGAAGAGTCTTCAACATTTCCCTTGATATCTCTGTGAACTGATTTCGAATCATAGACTTCTTGTGGAACATCAGTCTCTGGAACTGCATCATCAGAACACTGATCTAGCATAGCTTGTCTCTTAGTAAACTCTTCAGTAATTTCATCCTTAGTAGCAACTGGTCCATTGTACCACTCGTGCTCCTTGATCTCAGACAATGAAGGCCTAGTCGTATGATCGAAGTTGAAAAGCCAGTTTATCAAGTCGATGAAGCTCTTTGAGAAAAATTCGATTCCTCCTGGCTGATTCTGTCCGTGGTATTTCCAGAACTTGTCCATCCTATTGGAGCATACAAACTTGTACCAACCGTCCTTGGGGTGAGCCATCTGGAATGGAGGGATCTGAGTCACCATAATGAAGAGAATGATTCCAGCAGCAAAAATATCTACCATCTGACCGTGGTATTCTCCACCAATTAGGATCTCTGGTGCCATGTAGCTCCTCGTACCCTTAAAGGACTGATTGGAAGCAGTCTTGGAGCTGAAACCAAAATCAGCAATTTTCAGGTTGAACTCGTTGTCAAGCATAATATTATCAGGCTTCATGTCTCTATGACTAATTCCTTTTGAGTGTAGATACTCAAAAGCATCCATCATCTGATGGAAGTAGAATCTTGCTACAGGCTCTGAGAAGCTTCCAGACTGAGCTATGAAATCGAACAGTTCCCCACCTGAAGCAAGTTCTAAAGCTAAGTAGAACACGTTCTCCTTGACATCTCCATTAGCTTCCTTCAAAGTGCCATCGTCAGTGCTACTCAGCATGTTAATAATGTTGGGGTGGTTGATATCACTCATAATCTCGATTTCGGTCTTGAAGGTCTCAGCAGTGTTACCATTCTGGGAGTCATCATCTTTGATAATCTTCAAAGCCACCAAGTCTCCAGTTTCGATGTGCTTGCCTAGTTTCACCTGGGAGAAAGCTCCAGAGCCCAGGTCTCTGAGAATTTGGTATTGATCTATAGTTGCCATATTTTATATTATAAAATATTTATGCCAGTTCAATATATAGGTCACCAATTGGGGTTTTGGGGTTTTGGGGTTTTGGGGTTTTGGGGTTTTGGGGTTTTGGGG